AAAAAGGCAAATTGTGACAAAAGTATGCATTAATTTTCTGGACAGTATCCTTCCTCAAATTAAATGACACTGTATAAAAATTTGCTGGAAAAATATTACAAAACTGAACCCTGTACATTCACTCTTGAGTCCAAACCATTCTGCACGTGGCGGGACCCCGCAGTTCGGTTACCCTTCCCGCTCACAGCTTTCTCCTCTTGAGGGTCAGGATTGGAGTCTGTGTCATTTGAGTGGTGTGTGAGAGAGTTTTCACTGCCCGTGGGAGAGTCTACACTTCCAAACCCCGCACTGAGTTGGTTTATGTAACTACTACCTCCTCTGCCAGTTCTCTCTTCAGAGCTGTTGGAAGCCTTAGTCCCATTCCCTGGAGAAGGAGGAGAGTCATCTTCAGCTGTGTTCCCCTCCCTATGAAATACAGACCCAGATGTCCTCTGATGGGAGGAGCTGCCGTTACTTGGTCCGTTAGCCAGGCGACTGCAGTGTTTCCCCGTGGCCTCTGCCTGTTCCACAGGCTCAGAAGCTGTAGTCCTGCTGGTACTAGGGGTGGAGGCTTGAGACTGCTGCTGTCGGTACTGAGCCAGCTGCTGACATGTCTCTTTGAGTTGCTGCTGAAGAACCAGAATGGTACTCTGCATGCCCTCCACTTCCTCGTCCAGTTGGATGATGAAGTCATTCAGCTCATCCTGACTGCTTTTAAGCTCCTCACTATATTTCTTCTGTAAAGCCAACTCAGCTTCAAGTTGTGCAATACGACCCTGGGACAGCTGCCTTCCAAGCTCTTGGTTCTCCTGGATAAGCATTCGACACTTCGCCATTAATTTTTTGCCTGTTTGGCTCATTCAAGTTTTGACCCAGAAGTTCAACAATAATCATCAAGTCCACAGTCTTATTATTGGCAAAGCTAATATACAATGTCTCTAAGTCACTATGCTCAACATTAAAGAGCGATGCATATTCCATTTTAGCTTTTATTGGGATTTTACATGTTCAATTCAAGTTTAAAATGTCTAGGTTTTCATTCCTCCAAACTGTCTGATGACACAGTGTGCTTCACTGTGTCTTAAGAAGACTTAAGACTTCTGTTTCTCCCTCTATTTTCTTCACACAGAAACTTTTTTCAAGTGTCTAAGATTCCTAGAAGGGGAATGTCTCGGAGGTAGCCCCTTCTTCGGAATAGTCTGATGCCATCAGGCCTCTGAAGCAAGGGGAAGGGGAAGAGAAAAAAGCTGAAACACAAGGTTCATCTGTTAAGTTTTACATTAACCAGTACAAGCTGGACAGTTAAGAATGTGGCTTTTTTGGCTCAAAAAGTCTGAGTCTTGGTGTGGAAACGAGTACGTGGTTGTCCCACCACAGTTTTCTCGCAGTGTGACTGTCAGGGAGGT